ACTGGTGATAATGCTGCTCGCATTTCCGATGAGCAGTTGTTTCCAAGGTAAATCAGAAAATCACTGAAGGACATCAGGTAATTACCTATGCAATTAAGTTTCAGGTACGAGCTTCGCGATCGATCGAAATTGATCAAAACATCTTATGATCATATGGTATACTGTGACTCTACGGATGATGAAGAAGATGATGAACTTACAGATGATGAGCTATTATTCGACGAAAAACTTCTACAATTCTTGAAACTCAAAGATCAAAATAATATCACCGATGAAGCTATTAGACTTTTTAACATATTAGAATTACAATATGGAATCTGTCCTACATTACGTCAGTTGAAAAAGTTAAGAGCAGTACTTAATAAAAATATTCCTGTTAGGAAGTGTAATAACGGTAAGTTCAGTCATGACGAAGTACAAATGGAAAACTATGTATACTGTCTGCTATCTGTACAAGGATCTGTCAGTGAAGCTATAAAACATTGTACTTTTGCTAAAAAATTTTAATCGGCTGATCACATTATAGAAACTCATATTTTTCGTTTACAGGAGCATACCTAAATGTGAACGATGCCGTCAAATTATTAATTCATAGTGATCGATCGATAATAGATAATGCATCAGATGAAGTTATTCATATTAAACATAATATGGATGGTACGACAATAGGGGCATCCACAAATTTTTTGATGTCAACAATCAGTTGTGTTGAATCTGGTATTAATAAACAATCGGCTACAAACGTTATACCGTTAGGACAATTTAAGTTTAACAAAGAAAATCGTAGTGAAATTGAACGTGTAGTACCAGATGAATTTATAGATATGATGGAGAAGAAATTAGTTTGTTTAAAGAATTTGAAATTTGAATTAGACTTCCAGATGTCTTTAGATATGAAAATGATGTGGCAAGTTATGGGACTATATGGTATAACAGGTAATACAAATTAAACGCTATATCGAAAGGGTTCGCAGAAAATAAGGCTCTAGTAATCAGAGCAACTCCATCTCCTTCATTGTAGGACAAAACAAACATAAATGTCCTCATTGTACAGCCGCGAATATGGCCGAATTTGGGAAATATTCGGCGTTTGACTCGGCGAAGGGTGCCCGAACATTGGACCAGCAATATAAAGAAATCGGAAAATCTAAACCAGGTTTTGGATACCAGCATGCACCTTTTTTCCGCAAAAAACTACAGTAAGTTGAAGGACCTCTGCGTCACTGTGTAGTCGTTTTGAAAGTGTCTCGTCACTTCCTTGTTCGATCTGTTCCTAAATTTACATTAAGTGATACAATTCTTTAATTTAAGCTACAAACAACTTATCACTGATACGCTGCATATGAAATTAAGAATATCGGACATATTGCTAGCTGAAATAATATCGTTAATAAGCATAACGGACACAATAGCCGAACGTGGCCAACATTTGAAAAACGTAATGACCTTTTTAGAACAACGAGCTAAAGATACCAACGTAAGTTTCGGATTTATGAAAATCCTATCTATATCTAGCTAATTTGCATTCTTCGCTTTAGACAAATCATAAATTTACGTTAACGAAAAAAAATGAAATTGAAGTTGCTGGTAGATTAAATGCGCAGATGCATGAACGTTTTCTTCGCAACATTCCATTATATGCTATTTTAAAAAATAACCATAAGGCCTTTTTTATTCGTAAATTATGCGACGATTTTTTCGATGTAATGAATTTGTACAGTATTAGTGATATATACCAACATGTTAAGAAGCAATCAATAAACTGGTGCGAAAGATATAAAAGTCTATTTGGTAGTGATGCTGTCACCATATATATTCATGTTTTAGGTAATCATGCATTCGAATTCCACGAAGAATATAACAACCTTGCTTTATATAGTTTACAAGGCAATGAAAAATTTAACGATATAACTACAAAGGACTTCTTTATGTCAACGAACAAAAGAAATTTTAACGTCCAGCTGTTACAAAAACGGGTACGGTTACGGTTGCTCGACCTAGGATTACAACCACAAGGTGTGGTCGCACTAAAGAGATTGTTTTTTAATTGGAGCATAAAAGACTCTATTTCTGCAGAAGAATCTACCCTCAATAAATTTTATTTTCTTAATGATGATATGCAACGTATTTATGTACGACTATCGTAGACGTTTTTTTAATTTTTTGTTTTTCTGTTTTGTCTAAAGTCGTTAAAGTTGATTTTTATATGTACTCGATATTTATCAAGAATAATTAGCTGTACAACAACTTGATTATATAGTATAAGCTATACATTGATATTCTCTTTCTCATTCTCTTCATTCTATATACAAAAAAAGAAGAGAAATAAGAGAGCCAGAAACATTCAGAAAAAGAACGAAAGAAAGGAGCAACGCTAGTAGTTTCCACGTAAAACCACTTTTTCATTCTTTCCTCGAAAACCAGACTAGGCACCAAAAAATAGAAAGCAGATTCGAAATCTACGTAAAAAACCGAATCAGAATATGTATACTGTTTCCTTCGGAACCGGACGCAAAATAATTTGCCCGATTTGCTATGTGTTAAGAGTTTTTTTCAAAATAAATAAAGTTTAGACAGGTTGAACGTAGTAAATGTCTAATATTCGCCGTACTTGATAATACTGAACCGAAGTAGGAAAGGAAAGTTATTATTGTAGATTCGTTCATACCCAAACGTTGCGGCCTGATATGACCGTTGTTTGGCTTTCGTAGTTGATGTAAATTATTTTTACTTTCCAATGCTTCATCACCTAGAGAAAGAGAGTTTTCTATGAGCGATAGTTTAAGTTATCGCTCACGGTTTAGATTAAACGACATATCCGATTGTTCCCGTTCGCCCAAGAGCATCTTTGAATTGTTCCCGCACATTGCAGTATCTATTCACTTCAATGTTGAAAACAACAATGAATTAAAAAGCTTTGCTCGTTTTCAGCCATTCGTATAATTCACGACGTAGCTTCATCAGTTTGCCATTATCTTTACATATTCCACTGTTTTTCATGGGAAACGATAATAATTGAAAGCAACAACCATCGTTTAAAGAAAAGACTTTGAAATAAAAGTGTTTAATTAGATCTATTCATACATTGCTTGGAATTGAACCCTGACAATAATTAGAGTTTTTTGTAGATTTTCTTGCGTTAGATGAACAAATACTCGAGATATTTAAACAAAGGGGTCATGTGGATCATTTAGTAACTAAAGCCACCGGAGGAGGACATTCTAGGAGACAAAAAGCAATTTTCGAAGCTGTGATATGATTGCAGATTAATTTAGTAACTATGTGATTAATGATATTGCTTGAAAATATTTTGAAATTCAGGATTACATCTGTACAATGCATATATGACTGTGGGCATTTATTATATACTTTTGCTTGTGAAGCAGAGATGGGCGAGTATGCGGATTCTCGAGTACGAGTATTTTTAAAAGAAGAAAATACTCATGAAAAAAGTTATTTTAATTATGAACTGTTGTTTTTCAAACTAGACCGAAGTGTTATATCAGAAGCGAAAGAATGAAAAAGTTTTCCCTGTTCTGTCGTCATATGAGTGAATTGCAAGCCATTTGTACCGTTTGCACGGAAAAAATGGTCTCGTATGGTTCTCCTGCAGTTGTTAATCAAACTTGACGAAAAAAAAAAAATAATAAATAAAAATAAATAAATAAAAATAATTCCCAATCTTTATTAGCTTTTGCCATAACACAGCCCGTTGGTACAGTAACAAACTGACAAAAAAGAATTTCAAAGCGAATTGAAGACGTAGGAGTAATTAAAACTTTTCTTTATTGCGCATCGGTCTTCCACACTAAATGTCGCGTCATGCTTAAAAATTGTTTTTGCTGCCACTTCAAGCCTGTTCAATCTTTTGATAAACCATTTTTGTCAGAAGTGTAAATCATAGTGTAGAAGTTATATCCAA